CCATTCATGTCCACAATAAACTCTGCTCTCAGCCGCCGAAATCCAACTCACAAATCCAAAACGATTGAAATTGTGCATCATCGAGAAGAGTTATGTCCAGGTTCAAATATAAGAGAACTACAAGAACTGTAGCTGATTTATTTGACTTATATCTACCGAAAAGTTAAAAAGTTATAGAGGAAAACATACATAACACACATAACGTAAAAAAATGAAGGCGGTTGTGGAGGAAAACCGGTACTCTTAGGCAGTGAAACGCAAATCTTTGCGAGAAAAGAAAACAGAAAAAAGCAATCAACGTTCGAGAAAAAGTGAAAGATCCAAATTGCATTGTAATTGTAATTTTTCAGAGAATCTTCTTATCCAAACACATCTTCTTTCATGTCCATGATATTGTCGTTGAACTCATCATCTTCAGCTGGAACAGCGGTGCGAGTAGGGGCTGATCCCAAGCGCTCCATGCTTAGTTTTCCATCATATCGAGATTTGTCCTGAAGGAAAATATCAACGAATTTTGAATTAGAAATTGAAAGCAAATCACTTCTTGACTCATCGAAGATCCGCTCATTGGAACAATTGCCGGTGCTGTCTTCTGTGCAGATGTTGCCACGAAAATCGGAGATTTGATTACTGTGGGAGTCTGAAAGTGAAAAGTGAACTGAGGGTTTCGACTGCGAGTTTGCATTTACATACGTCAAAATTTGTCTTGGACACGAATGGAGTATCGTCCGGTTTCCAACGTATGGTTGTAGTTTCAAGATCGACTATAACTTGTGGGATTCCGGGACTATGCAAAGGATCCCACTTGCAAAACTGCATTTCAGGATGATATTTGCAGATCGACCATTTTGAGTCTTCTTCTTCATTGAAAATGTTCTCATCCTGAAGAATATTGCTCAGGGAACTACTTACAGCCACTTATCAAGCCCGGCTTTAAAATCTAACTGAGACGGTAAATCCGAAGTTAATCCGAGCCGCTCAAGTCGTATTTTGTTCTTTAGCAGGGTTTTTAGCGTTGGCGGTGAAAAATGACGCTTGTTTGAATTGAAATAAACATGATTTGAAGGCAT